GAACTTTTGGGCAGTTCATCATGCCCCCACCTGTGGGAGGGAGAAGAGAGTCCCTTATCACGGAGGCCTTGAGAACCATGTCGTGTCTGGATCAGGAATGACAGATTGGAGGCTGTCCCTTTTCCTCTCGAGCTGACTTTGGGGTTGCCAGGTCCTCGGTTGTCTGTTAGGGACTGCCACAAGGGCCCCACTATATTCTCAGTATTTCAAAATCTCAATGGAATCTTACAATTGCTCAGGATAGAGCTGTACAGACTAACTAGAACACTGGGTTCCTATCAACTCAGATTTACACTGAAGGCACCTAACAGAAAAGTTAAATGGACTAGAATCAAGGTCTGTTAATTCCTCTATCAGGGTTCTCNGGAAGCAAGTCACATACTGTCCGGTGTTGACCCACATCAACATGCTTCCCATGACCTAGCCAGGGTACTTTATAGCACCCTAGGATTTGGACTTTGCAAAAAAGATGCTTTATTAAATAGACATTAAAGTGCTTCTTACTATAAAACATGCAGATGACAATTGAAATGAGGATGAATATATGATCACTTAAAAAAATATTTCAAGGAGCATATATGTCTCCGCACAGCAGTTTGAGTCCTGTCGAGAGATAGTGCTGACATCATGTCACCTTTGGTCTCATCACTTGGTTAGCCAATTTGAGTTTTTCACTATAGACAGTGAAGTAAAATAAATAAGCCCTCAGACCCTGCTACTTCATCCCAGGGCTGTATTCCCTTTATATCCCCCATGAAAAAAGTCTTTGTTAACTAACAGTCACTGCTTTTGCTCAGGCCTCATCATCTCTTGATGAATGACTGGAGTAAAGTGTTTCTCCTAACTAGTTTCTCTTTCTTCTCCCTCAGTCTATTCTCTATATCACTGAATTTTCTCTTTGAAATGCAAAACTGGTGGTGTTACTCTTCTATCTAAAACTCTTTATTAGTGCCCATCACCCACAGGATAATACAATTCAAGAACCAGCTCCACCCGCTTTTCCCTCTGCCTAGGATGTCTTTTGTCAGCTCGGGTAATTTCTATTTATTCTTCAAAGTTCAGTTTATGTTATGCCCTCTGTGAGACTCCCTCTGATCCCCTGAGACGCTGTTAATCGTTCCTTTCTCTTTGTTACCTTGCACTTATTTCTGTTTTGCACCTATCACACTATGTAATCTATGGTACTTATTTATTTATAGAACTGTCTTCGCTCTTAAGGACAAGGATTGTGTCCTTTCTATCTCTGTGTACTCAGCACCTAGCACAATGTTGGAACACCGTAGAACCTCAATAAGTGTTTTGCCAAACTAAGCATAACGTTTTAAGAATTAGTAGCATTCATCTGCAAACACAAATCAAAGTACTAATAAAACTCTGTTTTCAGTGTTTAGGCAACCAAGTGTACTGGGAAGAGTATAGTGTAAACCAGCCTTGTGACCTGGTTCTGATGCCGTGTGGTCCCCCATCCTCAAAGGCAGTGGGGGCGGATCTCTACTTGTGTTACTGGTTGAATTGTGTCACCCCAAAATTCCTGTGTTGATATCCTTATTTGGACATAAGGTCTTTACTGAGGTAATCAAGTTAAAATGAGGTCATTAGAGTGATGTTATGGACTGAATTGTATCCCCCTGAAAATTCATATGTTGAAGCCCTAACCCCCAGTACCTCAGATATGACTGTATTTGGGGATAGGGTCTTTAAAGAGGTGATTGAGTTGAAATGAGGTCATTAGGTTGGACCCTAATCTAGTCTGACTGGTGTCCTTAAAAGAAGAGTAAACTTGGACATATGAAGAGACACGAGGGATGTGAATACACAAAAAAAGACCAGAAAAGGATGCAGTGAGAAGGTAGCCATCTGCAAACTAAGGAGAGAGGCATCAGAAGAAACCAAACCTGCCCACACCTTGATCTTGAACTTCTAACCTCCAAAACTGTGAGAAAATAAGTTTCTCTTATTTAAGTAACCAGCCCTAGCAAACTGATACAGATGGGCCCTAATCCAATATGACTGGTGTCCTGACAAGAAGAAGAAATTTGTACACAGAAATATGCACAGAGAGAAGACAAACGTGTGAAGAGACACAGGAGAAGACAGTCATCCACAAGCCAAGGAGAGAGGCCTAGAACAGATCCTTCCCCCACAGCTCTCAGGAGAAACTGATCCTGCTGACACCTTGTTCTGACTTCTAGGTTCCAGAAATGAGAGACTAGAAATGTCAATTGTTTAATTCATCCAGTTTGTTGTACTTTGTTATAAAGTCTTAGCAAACTGATACACCTCAACAACCCTTTATAAGCAGAACTTATTAATATGCATACAAACTGAGTCATAGACTATCAGCTCTGGAAGGGACTGTACTTGTCCACCCTTTTTGTTTTACACATGATGAAACAGGCTCAAGGGAGGGCAATGGCTGCCTCATGTCCAGTGGCTCTCCTAATGCCTGAGCTGAGATCTGACAGGGCTCTTCCCATGGCCCCACGTTTCTGCTGCTTTGTGTCCCTCCGCACCTCACAAGAGCCAGCTTCGTATGCTGTAAATCTGTTCACAATAGTGTGTACTTGGTCCTCAGAGTGGCTTAGATGGGTAAGAACATTGTCACGTGTTTCCTTAAAATGTCCTGAGCCAACTGCCCTTATCTTTACGGATAGCAAGGCTTTGGTATGCACTGATTAAATTCTTGTGAAACCACATCGAGGAGCATGAAGAGAGCTCTCCCTCTGTTTTGGGACAACCCAGTATATAAGATCTGGTGCCCTGTCTTTACTCTAACCGGAGAGGGCTGCTGTAACCAGAGAGGGCTGTGCTGGGGTGAGGGTGACTGCTTCCTCATTTAAAATAAAAACTTACTTAATAGTAGTTATGTAGTTTTCATAATAAAAACTACATTTTTATTATAGTTTATAGGGCATTTTAAGTGTGTTATCTCTTCCACTAATACTTATGAGGATTCCAGGATCAGACCACCCATCTCTCTCACTTACTCTGTGTGTGACTTTACTTAACCTTTTTATAGCTTTATTTTCTCACCTTTAAAGCAGCAATGCTAATACTATGGACATTATTTGGTTGCTGTGAGGGTTAAAGAAGATGTCACATAGCCGGAGCATAGACAATTAAGCCTTGCCTGTTACTATTTACAGGTGAAGAATCTAAGTCTCAGAGGGGTTGAGCGACTTACCCTTGTAAGTAGAAAGGACCGCCTTGGATCTAGGACCTCTGGGGCCATGTTCTATAAACTACTCACTATGCAACACTGCTTTCTTGGTCCTGTCACACATTCTTAATGACCGTGGGCAGAGAGGGAGGTCTGAATTTGGGGGAATGTCTCTGAATGTGATTTGTATGCAAGGTGCACAAGCAGCCAGACACATCCGCAGGTGGACAAATGGTTGACGCATGCTATGTAGTGGCTGGGAAAGGCAACATGAAGTGGGTTAGGTCCACCACAAAACTCCTAGGTGCAGATTGGAGGCCAGCTGGAATTTTCCCAGAAGTCCTTCTGGGAATACTCCAGGGTGGTCTCTGCGAAAGGAGGTGGTATGCAGGAGAGCATAACTTGGCTGGATTCCCCCTCATCCCTGGTCATTTGAGAAAGCCCTCCACATAGACACCAAGCCTACTATGGGCAGGAGTCTCATTGGAATGACTCCTGTTTCCCCTCAGTGGATACAGAGAGGAGAATGTCAGAGCATAAGCAATGCTTGGCAGGGCCAGGAGCCTGGTCCTCCTGTCCCTGAACCTGCTTGAGGCAGGGACACAAGATCTGTTGGTGAAATGGGTCAGTGTTTAATCTTGTTTCCAAGTGGTGAGATGGACTGACTTAATGAGCTCTCTCTGTGCCTTTTGGTAACAGAATAATGATGCTTTTCTTTCTAGAGAAAGAGAAGCCAGAAGATCTAGGTGTAGATGCTAACTCCACTTATTAGAAGTTGAAGAAACTTGAAGAGGCTACTTAAATGCTATGAACTTCAATTTCCTGAATTGTAAAATGAGAATGATAACACCTACCTGGCAAGGTTATTGTGAAGATCAAAAGAAATCGTACAGTTGAAAGTGCTTTGCCAATAGTAAAGTGCTGTACAACTTATCATTATTCCCCAGACTTCACAGTCCAGGTCTTAATACCACCTCTCTCCAACCTGCTGTGGGATTCACAGTCCATTCCATAAAATGAGGCCCTTCATTAGATCCTGTGTTTCATTATTGAACAAATGTTTCGTACCTTATCTTTACAATGCATTGTTAGAGAGCAGAGATCATATCTATTCCCAATTTCCTACAGGGTAGGTGATCGATAAATATTTATTGATGATATGGAACTGTCCCACCATTAGTGGGGGATGAACTTGAGAGTCAGGACCTGCCACCTTCGCTCCTTCACCCAGTCAACCTTGCAAGTTGGAGCCAGGGCGGGAGGCAGAAGAGAAGGATCGAGCCTTGGAAACCTGGGTTCTGGGTCTGGCTCCATCATTTCCTGTTGGTTTCCTCAATTGTAAACTATTCATAATAATGCCTCCCTGGTCAATATGACAGTGTGCTCACTGAATGCACATGGAAGCTTTTGCAAGCTATAAGGAAAATGTAGAGTGTTGTTACCAAAGTGAAGCAGAACAACTGGCTCAGGTGGGGACTGAGCCCATGCTCATTACTGTGGCACATTAGTCACCACCAGTGTACTCACCTGTGGGATCTGGCATGCATCTGGACCACGGGGTGAAGGTCTGGGAGCGGTTGCTGATGGGGTTGCTTGCGGAGCAGATGTAGATATTGTCAGCATGCTGGGCGCCAAGGGTGAGGTACAGGAGGTGGGAGCTGCTGGCTGGGCTCAGTGGGTGGGTGCCCGCCTCCTCACTCCAGCTGTAAGCCACATGGTCCCCCTTCTCCACTGTGCAGGACAGCATCAAGCTGCAGGTCCCGTTCTCCTGGGTCTTGTTTAACACTTTAATTTCTGGAGTGGAGACCTGCTCTGTCAGGAGGGGGAGGAAGGGGGCCATCATTGAAATGAACTCCCTGGAATTCTCACTTGATCTTTTCGTTAGAACAAAGTACAGCCTAATGGCTCTTTTCCTCCCTGAGGGGGCTTCAGTGTGATTTATTTCTACTGGTGACCTACTGCGTTGCACCTCCCCTCACTCCACACTACATCCTTCCCAGGACCACCTTGGGATAAAATAGAGAAGAATTTGGTTTTTGTCCCCTTATGCCAATACTGTTAGGGCTCCACTTGCCCTTCCTGATGTTTTTGATCCAGGTTGTTCTCCTGTGTTCTATCAGTGGAGTTTGCTGCAACTAACCCCCCATGGGTTTTATTGGTTTAAAGTATTACTTCCTAGACCTAAAAGAATGCCTTTTTAGTGGGGGTATTTTATCTGCGGTGTGCATGCGCACACGTGTGTGTGTGTGTGTGTGTGTGTGTGTAGCAAGTGCTTTTGTGTGTCTGAGCTAGGGATAGGTCCTCAGTCATAGCCGTAGGCCCCATCAGTCTATCCCACTCTATTGCCATGAAATAGGCAAGGTAGAAGGGAAAGTCTCGTTTATACTGCTATAGAACAAGCAAAGTGCTGTAGTTTCACATTCATCATCTTCTTCAACCTTGTTGGCAATTATAACTGTAGTTATAATTATTCCCATTTTATAGACAAAGAAACTGAGTCCCAGAGAGGTGAAACGTCTTGCACAGTGTCACACAGCTTCTAAGTGGTTGAGCTGAGATCTGAACCTAGGTCTGACTCTGAAATCCAGCCTCCTCCTTTGAATTGAGAAGAATTCCATGGCTGCAGAGACCACATTTTCCAAACTAAGAATTTGATTACAAGATGTGACAAAGGCCATACATTTATAGGAGCAAAAG